CATCCTACTAAATTAAATTTAAAATTTAAGCCTTGTTATTGGTCATGATTATAAAAAACAAAAAGAATTAACTATTAGTTAAGTATCAATAGTAACAACCAACTACTAATTAATTATCATTAAATAAATTAGCTGTAATAAACCCATGATGAGTAAAATCGTCTGGCGTTAGACTGAGTACAATAATAAAGTAGGGCGCATCTGCGCGCATCGCCAATTAAAATATGTTACAATGAATCTCAGAAAACAAAATGTTACAGGCCATGATATGCCTCTCTAAATCACGCTAATATAATTGGACATGACTCACAGTCAAGTTGTTACCATACTGTTCTGCATATCGATCTCCCAGGGTGCGCAGCTCTTGCGCAACTTGAGAGATTGTTTCCCGCTGCGCCACTTGCTGTGGTTCCTGTCGTTCGTCTGGTATGTACACTTCATCGACTTCCTCGCCTGAAATGAAGTCTGAAAATAAACAATTTAAAATAAAAAGTCGTTACAGAAAAAATTTAGACACTCACTACAAAGCAGACTGCATGTACACACAAAAATCTCACATCTTGTTACCCAGCGGGCAAAATGACGATTATCCAACGTTGAATCAACGTTGGAAATGACCTTCCAGACGTTGGATAGACGTTGAAAAAGGGTTGACTATGCAAATTGGATCGACGTTACTGTTTCGACGTTGAAACAACGTTGAAATTAGGTTGCCAATCTCGTCAACCATAATTCAACGTTGAATCCACGTTAAAACAACGTTGAGATTGGTTCACAAATCGACGTCGTACATTTAACCATGAATGAACGTTAATTGTTAATTCAACGTCTGTTGGCTGCTGTTGAACCAATGTTTGTAAAACAACGTCAGAACAACGTAGATATTAGGTTGTCGACGTCGCAACCTTTTTTCTATCAAATTTCAACGTTGAAACAACGTCGTGTGCCCGGTGGGTAAGAGCTTCAGCCTTGTCCCAAACTTGTTGACAACTTGGGACAAGCAGTGCGAACACAACTTGTTGACGATTTGTTCGCAGACTTGCTACACGCATAAAAATCTCGCATCTTAATGGGCCTTATGCAGTTTCCGTCCAATTTCCAGGAATTTCAGTTAAAATACTGGAAGTTTTATATGTTGTTTATATCGTTATTACGAGTGTTCACCAAAAATTTTGAATCAGTAGGATTAATTCCTCCTGAGTTATACCCTGGATTCCAGAGCCTTCAGTAAATAATACATTGAAACGTCGTGAAGGCTCTGGTTCAACGGGAGGATTCTTTGATTAAATCGCGCCAATCATAAAACAGAATTAGTGATTTAGTACAGATTCTGTACTAAAATCACTAATTCTGTTTTGTGATTGGCGCAGTTTGATTGATTTAAAATTGGCCATTTTATACCACCAAGCATTTATCCAAAAATCAAATGCTAAAATAAAGGCGAGTTTGAGCTAAAATGTTTAAATTCTTGTTTATGTCAGGTAAGATGTCCCATCTTAACAACCTTAACCAAGGATTTTTAAATGAATTTTGTGTATAACACAGTTTCTAAGGCGTTCGAGGATAATGCTGACGTCAGCACTTTTATTTTTATTTTCCAAGACGGTGTAACTCAGGAGGAATTAATTCTATTGATTCAAAATTTTTGGTGAACACTCGCAATAATGATATAAACAACATATAAAACTTGCAGTATTGTAACTGAAATTCTTGGAAATTGGACGGAAACCCACATAAGGCCCATTGTACCCAGGGATGATTTTCTGGGGGGGGGGGTCCGCACCCCCTAGCCCTGTCCAGAGGGGGTGCAGGGGGGCGGGTGCTATCTTTCATGATAAAGCAAAAAAGACAAAATGAGATACAGTAATTTGAGTAATAACGTGATGATAAGTGAACTGTGAACAACAATTACAATTCAAATACAGTCCATGTTTTTACAACCGTATTTCGGTTGTAAATCTGATTGGTTTATGAGACAAAAGATTTTTTAATCTGTCATTTGATTGGTTGGTGCTAATTACATTATATATTGTCGTTGATATATTTATAGTGATCACAACTATAATTAGATTGTTGTTGTCGTTGTGTGAAATTTAAATTTCTCCTGCGACATTTTGATTGGATACTAAATATAAACTTTGCTGTGGGTGGAAAGCGATCGGATTAAGGATTGTGTCAGGCTATTATTTGTAAAATAGAGCCTGATCGCAGGTTAATGGGCGGGTGGCACACATGACCGACACAACTCGGCAGTCGGCACCAGAGCAGCCCTACCAGATCATGCTGGATCCATCCATGATTGTACCAAGTCTGCCAACAAGCCATCAACAAGTTGTGATCACACTGCTTGTCCCAAATATAAGTTGTCAACAAGTTTTGAACAAGCTGTTATACACCTTGTCACAACCTTGTTGATATTAGCAGACTTGTTGCAAGGCTGTTCCAACAAGTCTGATACAGCCATGATATATAAGTTGTTACAGGACTGCAAACAAGTTGTTACAAATCTGTTCACAAGCTGTCGACAAGTTGTGTTCGCACTGCTTGTTCCCAGTTGATGCAATAAGTTTGGAAAAACCTGTTCACAACTTGTAACAAGCTTGATTGCATTATCAGACTTGTTACAAGGTTGTTCTAACACGTCTGATACAGTCATGATATAACAAGAATGTCACAAGATTGATGACACAAGGTTGTAAGTTATTGTAACTATACAATATCTACTGCAATAGAAAATAAAAATAGCATATCTTATCCTTCCATGCTTTTAAAAACTGACTTGTAACAATATTGTTATATCATGACTGTATCGGACTTGTTGGAACAACTTTGCAACAAGTGTGATAATATCAACAAGGTTGTCACAAGTTCTTAACAGCTTGTTCCAAACTTGTTGACAACTTGAGACTAGCAGTGCGAACACAACTTGTTGACGGCTTGTTGGCAGACTTGCTACAAGGTGTGAGATTTTTGCGTGTGTAGGTTTGTAGCAAGCTTGTTAACAAGTTGTGACATTGTCAACAAGATTTGTTTGCAATAGGTTTGAAGCAGCCTTGTTAACAAGCTGTCTCCACAACAGGCTTGTAGCAAGCTTGTTAACAAGTTGTGACAATGCTGTTCCAACAACTTGTCAACAAGATGTCTCCTCAACAGGCTTGTAGCAAGCTTGTTACAGTCAATTTCAGCTGACTTTTCATCGTAAGATTCCGAACTTCGTTCCGAACTTTGCAAATTCGTTGCCATGTTCAAAAGTTCATAATGAAATTCACAAACACGTTTGTAAACAAAGCCTCTGATTGGCTATTAAATCAAACCAGCCAATCAAATGCCCAGTTTACAAACCTGTTTGTGAATTTCATTATGAACTTCTGAACTTGGCAACGAATTTGTGAAGTTCGGAACGAAGTTCGGAATCTTACGATGAAAAGTCAGCTGAAATTGACTGTAACAAGTTATGACAATGCAGTTCAAACCACTACATGCGTAAAAATCTCACGTCTTGTAGCAAGTCTGCCCACAGGCGGCCCAATCTCTGAACGTCCTATATATTTTGAATATTTAACCGTTATAATATTTTAAAATAACAAAATAATTCAAAAAATATTAGCAGTATATGTAAAAATATATCTAACTTGTTGATAGGATGCATTTGTTGTGTTTCCGAGTTTAGTTGATGCGATTGCTTTACGTTTTCGTCGTACTTGAACGGTCGTCAGCACTGGCACTGAACGACATGGCCATACTTATTTATGTCCTATACGGCCATGTCGTCCAGTGCCATAGTGCTGACGACCGTTCAAGTACGACGAAAACGTAAAGCAATCGCATCAACTAGACTCAGAAACACAACAAATGGATTCTATTAACAAGTGAGATATATTTTTTACATATATTGTTAATATTTTTTGAATTATTTTGTTATTTTAAAATATTATAACGGTTAAATATTCCAAATATATAGGACGTTCAGAGATTGGGCCGCCTGTGGTCTGCCAACAAGCCGACAAGCCGTCAATAAGTTGTGTTCGCACTGCTTGTCACAAGTTGTCAACAAGTTTGGAACAAGCTGTGAACAGTTGTAACAACCTTGTTGATATTATCAAGCTTGTTGCAAGGTTGTTCCAACAAGTCCGATACAGTCATGATATATAACAATATTGTTACAACCTTGTGTCATCCTCCTTGTAACATTTTTGTTATATCAGGACTGTATCAGACTTGGTAGAACAACCTTGTAACAAGTCTGATAATGCCATAAAGCTTGTTACAAGTTGTTAACAACTTGTTCCAAACTTATTGCATCAACTGGGAACAAGCAGTGTGAACACAACTTGTCGACAGCTTGTGAACAGAATTGTAACAACTTGTTCGCAGACTTGTAACAACTTGTGCTTTTCTATGTGTGTAGGTTTGTAGCAAGCTTGTTAACAAGTTGTGACAATGCTGTTCCAACAACTTGTTAACAAGAGGTGTTTGTGCTACACACGCAAAAACCTCACATCTTGTAACAAATTTGTCAACAAGCCGTCAACAAGTTGTCTTCGCACTGCTTGTCACAAGTTGTCAACAAGTTTGTAACAAACTGTTAACAATTTGTAACAACCTTGTTGATATTATCAGACTTGTTACAAGGTTGTTCCAACAAGTCTGATACAGTCATGATATAGCAGTATTGTTACAACCTTGTGTCGTCAACCTTGTAACATTCTTGTTTATCATGACTGTATCAGACTTGTTAGAACAACCTTGTAACATTCTTGTTTATCATGACTGTATCAGACTTGTTAGAACAACCTTGTAACTTTCTTGTTTATCATGACTGTATCAGACTTGTTAGAACAACCTTGTAACATTCTTGTTTATCATGACTGTATCAGACTTGTTAGAACAACCTTGTAACATTCTTGTTTATCATGACTGTATCAGACTTGTTAGAACAACCTTGTAACAAGTCCGATAATGCCATCATGCTTGTTACAAGTTGTTAACAGCTTGTTCCAAACTTGTTACAACAACAACTGGGAACAAGCAGTGCGAACACAACTTGTCGACAGCTTGTGAACAGATTTGTAGCAACTTGTTTGCAGACTTGTAACAACTTGTGCGTTTTTACGTGTGTAGCTTTATGACAACTTGTGAACAGATTTGTAACAATGCTGTTCCAACAACTTGTTAACAAGAGGTGTTTGTGATAGGTTTGTGACAACTTGTTCGCAGACTTGTAACAACTTGTGCTTTTCTATGTGTGTAGGTTTGTAGCAAGCTTGTTAACAAGTTGTGACAATACTGTTCCAACAACTTGTCAACAAGAGGTGTTTGTGATAGGTTTGTGACAATTAACTTGCAAGGGTGGGTTGACTACAAAATTTTTGTAGTTCACTATAACTACAGCTATACTTCAAAAATACGTAGTCAGCTACAACTACTGCTACTTTTGAACAAAGGTAGTTCGCTATTGACTACATCTACTGCTTAAAAAATGTAGCGAACTATTTCGCTATTTCGCTACTCTATATTTTTTAGTTTTACGGTATTTGGGCTCAGGCTGTAATTTAACCTACAACAAATCGACTTACGAGTAGCAACAGTAAACAAAAAGGGTCAAAGTAACATTTTTGTAAGCACTGTACAGTGTTCAGGAGTGACACTTTTCAATGCGCTAAAATAATCTTTACTGTATAAAATAATATTTTAAGCAAACCGTGTCTTAATTTCATTATATTCTATGAACGGTTGCTAACAATTTTAAAAAGTAGCGAATAGCGATTCGCTGTTTGAAAAGTAGTCAACTACTTGGCTACTTTTAGGCAAAATGTAGTTCGCTATAACTACAACTACTGTTTTAAAAAAGTA